GTGCCACAAGCGAATCGGACCAACACACAATGTTTTCAAAGTGAAGTTTGTCACAAAAGACCTGTTGAATGAAGACAACTAGTTTCGCCACTAGAACACAAGCACAAAGTTCAAGTTTTGGCAATGAGATTTTCTTTAACGGTGCGACCTTGGACTTTGAAATTACAAAATAAGAAAATGTCTCACCTAAAGCAGAAGTGAAACGAAAATATGCGACTGCGCTATAGCCCTTTTCACTGGCATCGCCAAAACAATGAAGTTCGCATGAATTAAATTGACGAGGTTTTAGTAAACGAGGAACTTGAATGTCAGAAAGAACGGGAAGAGTAGTATGTATCCGATTCCACACCCGACATATTTCTCCAGACGGAATCTCGTCCCATCCAATTTTAAGAGTCCAAATATGTTGGATTAGGGTTTTTATAAGAAAAGTCACAGGTGATAAAAATCCCAGGGGATCAAAGATTCTGGCAAGATTTGACAACAGATTTCGTTTCGTGCATTGAGGGCTAACAGGGTTGACTCGAAAATGAAATATGTCAATGTTGGGATTCCATTGAAGTCCCAAAACCTTGTGACCACTATCACAGTCCTGATCGAACGAATGAGGATTGTTGAGCAGTGTTTCAGAAGGTAAGTGATCTAATAATGATTGAGCATTGCCCGACCACTTGCGTAACACAAACTGACCACGGTGAAGCAATTGTATCAGTTGCCGTTGCAACTCAAGAGCTTCCTCAGCACTTGAAGCGCCTGTGACCACATCATCGACAAAAGTGTGATGACGCAGAGCATGTGCTGCTAAAGGATAATCCTTTCCATCATCCTCAGCTAACTGAAGTATTGTACGAATTGCCAAAAATGGCGCGCACGCAGTTCCATATGTAAGAGTTGTTAATTTGTAATCTTGCATTTCTTCATGTGGAGAAAAGCGCCACAAAATACGCTGCAAATCTTGATGATCTGGCGTAATTAAAATTTGACGATACATCATCTTGATGTCAGCAGTGAAAACAAATAAATGAAGTCGAAAGTTCAGAAGAATGTTGATTATATCGCGTTGAAGTTTTTGTCCAATAAAAAGATGATCATTTAAAGACGTATGCCCGGGAAGTTTTGCGGAGGCGTTGAATACTACGCGGAGTTTGGTAGTAGAACTTTCAGGGCGTAGAATACAATGATGCGGTATGTAATAAAAACCAGGGCGGTTCGATTCGGGTGGTGAAGCAACTTCCATATGATGTAACTCCAAATATTCCTGCATAAAGGCACAATATTGGCGATAAACATCAGGTTGTTTTAACAAGCGTCTTTCTAATGAAAGAAAACGAGAAAGAGCAAGATCTCTTGATCCACTAAAATTATATTCAATATTTTTTAAAGGTAAATGTAAGATGAATCTGCCGTCGTGATTTCGAGAATGTGTTTTAGAAAAGATTTCCTCACACACTTTTTCGTCAGAAGAAATGTGGTGTGCTGTAGGAATTGTTTCTAATTCCCAAAACACCTTTACAGCATTTTCTAAACGTGATAACTTATTTGTAGCACAAAGAAGCGAGGTTGGAATTATCGAGGCAGGTGTGGAACGAACTTGTCCCATTAAAACGTAGCCAAAGATGGTGTTAAGTACGTCAGGTTGACCCTCAGTTCCTAAAATACGACCATCCAAAAGTATCTTTGCGAAGATATCAGCCCCTAACAAAATATCGACAGGACCTGGTTTCGAAAAATTGGCATCTGCCATCTTCAAATGACGAGTATGGCTCCACGTAGCAACAGGAAGTTCCGATGAAGGTAAATAATTACAAATCTTGGATAAGATTGCAGCGTCAACAACAAGAATTGGAGTTGATGATTCAATAGGGCGAATTAACAATGTCACTTTACCATATGGAGCGTTAGAAGCCATGGAATCGATACCCTCAAGTTCCAGATAGAAGGGTGTTGGTTTTAAACCTAAATGATTTGCAACCTTGCGAGTTATGAACGATGTCATACTACCAGAATCTAAGACACACCGGTATTGGTGATATAAACCCCGACTATCCCCTACATTTATCATCGCTGTAGAAAGTAAAACTGTAGTTTTACAAGTTGACGAGGCAAGAAGAACTGTGGAAGAGGATGAGGAGGTATTAAGTTGAGCACTTGTATTTGCAGATGGCCCTCTGTCTTCCATGACAGGCGAAGAATTCTCAAAATGTAAGACAGTATGATGATTTTGACCACATTTGCGACATGTGGATCGTGATTGACAATTTTTTAAACTATGAACATTACTCAAACAATTTATGCACAATTTGTGAAGCTTTGCAATGTTATAGCGCTCTTTGGGAGACTTTTTTAAAAACTCCGAACACCTATAAAGAAGATGTTCTGATTTACATAAAGGACAGATAATATTCGGCCTTTCCGAATTGTTGAAAGTGAGCAAAGAGGTTGAACGAACCGAAAAAGGCGTGTTTCGTTTCTCATAAACTTTTTGCGATTTACATTTCCGCGTCAATTGAACATTTTTTATTGATTCACAATGATTAATTAAAAACTGAACCAAAGAATGGTAAGTGGGCATTGTGTTCGGGGCGTGTTGTAATTCGAAACGAGTTGCAATAGTCTCGTCAATGCGATTCATTAGCATTTGTACCAAAATAAAATCCCAATGTTGAGTAGGTAAATTTAAATTTTTTAAAGCATCAAGATTCTCAGTAAAAATATCTAAGAGCTTGCGTAACTCCAAAGAATTAGAAGCTGGTTGTAATTTCGGAGCATTTTCAATAGCGGACCAATGTGCTGCAGCAATAGCTCGTGAATTCTTGTACCTATCCAAGATTGTTTGGCGAGCAATACTATAATTAGTCGCCGATAAAGTTATATTTTTAATTATCCCTAACGCTTGACCCTTAAGCGATGATCGCAGATATTTATGTTTTTCAATATCACTAAGTTTTGAATTATTATCAACAATTGCATCAAACATATCGATAAACGCAGTAAAATTTACGATATCATCGTCACCTGAAAATGTTGGCAATTGAATTTTTGGTAAAGCGACATTTGCGTGAGAATCATCACCACTAGTTGTTCGGGTTTGCGCAGAAGTAGGTAGCGGGATTTTGGAAAAAACCAAATTAATTTCATAATATTTTTTGTCAAAAGTTTTTCTAACTCCATCTTCAACATCAAACTGTTCATCCGTTTCTAATAAACCGATTATAACGTTATGTTGTGCGAAAAAGTTTGAACGAATTTGTTCCACATCCTGGTAACAAATTTTAAAAAGCGAAATTGAATCAGGATTATTTAAATTTTGTGCAATTACAAAAATATCATCTAACCGCTGAATTTCAGTTTTTCTTAAAGATGAAGCTTTTTTAATTTTAGCTTCAGACATATTTTCCGTCTAGGTAAAACAGAGAAAGAAACCAAACGATAGGTATTGAGCGAAATAATATGAATATATTTATAAAAATGCGAAACAGCTGACTAGAATCCGAAGCCGTAAATAAAAATAGCGATACGTCGAAAAAACCACAATTTGACGAAGCAAATTCAAAAGAGAATGAAAATAACAAATTGTGCTTGCGAATTAAAATTCCAGCGCCGCGAATACCGATACAAAGCACAATTAAAATAACCAAACTCGTTCACCTACCTATGCGAAAGTTCCACGAAAGTTCAGTTGTAATTTCGAATAGAGAGTAAAAGAGAATACGATAATTCAGGTTTCATCTCTAGTTGCGCGCGCGTATATAGATACGCTGCTACCTAAAATCTTCGGTGGGCTGGTTGGTTTGTAATTCCAATTTTATTTGCTATAATTTTGCCGGTACCACAAAAAATTGATATTTGAGAATATTAAATGCAATGAACAAAAATTCCTATGTAACTTATTTTTACGATTTAAAAGTAAATTAGCCAATCCGGCTCGAAGGACCAAAAATGATGTACTGTGAATGCTTATGTAAAGCAGCTCAGGAGAGAGAAAAAATGGATTGTCGGCTCACTTCTAAGTCTTACCTTGTAAAATAAGATTGCTACTCCCAAAATCCTTTCCTTGATGAGTCCCGGCCGGGAACAGAAATGTTCCTTGAATGATTAGTCGGGTAACACGTCACTCCCGTTAATTTGGTTTTTCTTTTGTGCGTTGAAACGTCCGTGAGGACCGCGTGTTTGAATTTTTAATATTATTGTGCTGACAATTGAATCGGTACTGACTCGTAGCGGTCAGAGTATTGTTCGACGAGAAGGAAAAAAACTTAGAAGATTAAATTCGCGATCAATAAGTACAAAATTAAAGGCATACAGAGTGACCCTTTGACCGAATTGGCTAAATAATAACGAATTAAAATTAAATATATAATGGAACGTAAATACATTGGCATGACATTATGCCATTATTAGAATATAAATTAAAGAAAACTGCATAAACCATTCATTGCATTTCATATTCCCAAAAAACAAATAAACAAAAAAAATAATAATTCTATGGTAAAGTTGACGAAACACATATAATTATGTATTATATTCCTGAATCGTTAAGTATTTAACATGAATCCTGGATTTGTGAAAGCAGATTCAGCTAATTTAAAAACGTTCACAAACGTCAAATAAGACTTGACAGAACAAAAATACAAATCACTGAAGTATTATTACGCATTACGAGAAGAAAACACAAATTATATTACATTATTTGGCACCATTGTAAGTTAGTTATTCTATAGGGCGAATTTAGGCTGGAAATCTCGTCAAAAATGGGTTTTCAATCCCAATTTTCTTCTAAATGCTTGTTTGAAAGGTTAAATTAATGTTTTCTTGTTAAAATAAACACGACCAGTATTAATTGTTTCGACGTAAATAAGATTGAAAATTCCGATGCGTTGTTATAGTCCACTGTTCAATTTTTTATGCCGACGTTTGTAGAATTCTCTCAATAAAAGTCAAAGTAAGAAATTCAACATACATACTACTATAATTTCACTTGATTATAGAAAAATTCACTTACTGTCTCTGTCTGGTCTAGTCCGTTCTCCATTGGTAGTAAAGCCAACAATTCTTGTACTAGAGGAACTACCAGAACCACCTGTAACTGTGTGTGTTCTATGAGCAGATCTGATGTTACTTGCAGAACTAGAAGCGACTGAAAATGTTAAATAACCATTATCGATCGAGTATTTTTACCTTAATCAGCGTGGATCAACTAATAATCATAAAACAAAACTTAATGTTATCAGATTTATTTTAAAAATTTGAACTATTTTAGATTTAAGTGGTATATATCAACTCCCCAATTAAAAATTAGAATTATTAGGTAGAATAATATTCTATTTAGATTAACTAATTAATAATTGATAATGGCTAATGGATAATTGATAATAATTAATATAGGTAAAATAGAAGCCATACATATTCGAGGAATGGACGCAGAAACAACAAGAGAACAACTTCTAGAAGCTATAAAATTAGCAATAGGTAAATGGGATAAGGACAACATGAAACTTAGCGAACTAAGACCACAAAACAACGAAATGATGGCAACAACCTCACATTACCAATAGAACATGCTAACAAAATTCTATAGTTAGAGCATATACGGGTAGGTATAGTAAGATGTAGACTCGAAAAGAGGGTTAAAGTATACCGTTGCAAACGCTGCTGGTCATATGAATACACAACTAGCAATTGTGATTGCCCTGACAGAACGGACAACTGTTTCAAGTGTGGAAAGGCGGACCACAACACAAAAGAATGCCTAAACGAAGAAACCTGTCCCATATACGGAACAGAGGGACACAAAATAGGTACCATGAAATGCGCTGCTTTTAAAAGGGCACTAAAAATAACAAAAAAGAATTACAAAATAATTAACAGATCACCAACAAATAAGAATACCTTGGAAGATATAGAGATGTCAGAAAAACACGCAAAAGATACTAACCTAACTCTGGTCGCAGAGTCGGAGGACGTCACACAAGCGACAGAGAACAAGTAACACACCCACTCTCCTACCTAAACCAGAAACAAAGCCGATACTACAGTCTACTCTACACTAACAAACTAAAAATGCCTATAAACTGCCTCCAATTAAACTTAAGACAGAACACACGCCGCACATGACCTACTGGAACAAACGATATTCGAGGAAAAAATCGACATAGTAATTGGACAAGAACCAAATAAAAACAGAATAAGAAAAGTATACTGCGATAACTGATATGATAGTTTCATATACATCAACAGAAATCTGGATGTCCTAAATGTATCCAGCAACGATGGGTTTGTATGCGTCGAACTAAAAGATTTAGCTAAATATTCGTGCTATTTATCTCCCAATAGAACTACACAAGATTTCGAAAGCTAATTTCGAACTGGAAAAACACATAAATAGCTTGACAGGCATAAAAAAAATAAAAGCTGGTGATTTTAACGCCAAGGCAACAATCTTCGGATCCTCTAAAACAACTAGAGGACGCGTATTAAAAGAATGGATTGAAGCTAATGATCTGACGATAATAAACGAAGGAAATACACCCACATTTTCGAACGTCAATGGCCAACCCATTATAGACATCACGCTAGCGAATGCAAAAATCTCTCCAAATATAACTAAATGGCATGTAACCGAGGAAGAAGTCAACATGAGCGGCCATCGCACGATTCGCTTCTCGATAGACGACAAAATTCACTACAAAAAAAGAAATCTACAGAACGGCTGGAAGACAACTCCTACAACATTATACAAATTTGGACAAGACTGCAAAAACCTTAAGAAAGCTACCCCTCCTAGACTCAAATGCAACTGCAAGCTATTTCACCAACATGTTAGCAAAAAAATGCAACAAACATTTTAAAAATAAAAATACAATGCATCATGGACACAGGCCAGTATATTAGTGGACAGATGACATAGCTAAAATAAGGAAAAAAAGCCATTAACGAGAGACGTATCGCAACCTGATGCAAAGATCCATTAGCTAAAGAAACAGCACTAACAAGATACAAAGAGACAAAACAAACGCTCAAGAAAGCTATCATAAACCAGAAAAGGCAGACATGGAATAAACTTTGTGAGGAACTAGACGATGATATATGGGGGAAAGCCTATCAAATCGAGCTGGACAAACTCAAACTTCGACCAGCAATAAGTCTAAATGAACAAGATGAAACAAGGCAAATAGATAAACCATTTCCAAGCCATCCCCTAATAGAGTGGACAGACATACATATTCCACAAACAATAGAGAAATTCACAAAAAAGGAACTAGACGCGGCAGTAAAAAAAATCAAAAATAATAAGGCTCCAGGATCAGATAACATTACAGTAGAAATCATGAAACAAGTAGTAGATTGAATAAATCCAAAATACATCTACTATCTAGAATGTGGCCAATTCCCCAACGAATGGAAGAGATCCAAACTTCGGTTAATAGAAAAGCCTAAAAAGGAACCAACAAAACCCACTACTTTCAGATCTTTATGCCTACTAATCACTTTTGGGAAGCTGCAGGAAAAGCTAATTAAGATGAGGATTGAAAAAGAACTAGACGAGAAGAAAGTCTTACATGAAAACCAGTTTGAGTTTCGTGCAGGAAGATCGACAGTCGACGCTCTAAAAAAGGTAAAAGAGATAACAGAAAACATAAAAAGCAAGTCCCGTAGTAACAAAGAATTCTGCATAATGATTACCTTAGACATCGAAAATGCGTTTAACTCAACACCTTGGAGAAAAATAATAAATACTATGGAAATGGTAGGTACAAGTAAGTACATTATAAGGATAATGCAATCCTATTTCAGTAATAGAGTAGTGCAAACAGTGAATGGCAGAAACTTTGCCATGACTTCCCAAGGGAAGTACGGATCCCACAAGGATCCGTACTAGGGCCTACATTATGGAACATCTTTTATGATGAAATCGTGCGAATGGAAATGGGCAAAGGCATTGAACTGATAGCTTACGCTGACGACCTGGCCATGATTGTCCATGCAAAAACGGAAACAGGAATAGAAAACGCTAACAGCTTACGCGATAGATAAAGTAACGAATAAACTCTTAGAATTAAGCATAAAATTGGCAACGAACAAATCTGAAATGGTAATTCTCAGTGGCTCTAGAAGACTGAGGGGACTGGAAATTGACCTGGGCGTATATACATAGAGACAAAGAAATGAAAATGACAGTACACATCAAAAGGACATGCCATAAAGCAAATAACAAAATAAAATCGTTGCAAAGGAATACCCCTAACATCGGAGGACCAAAGACCAGTAAACGAAAAATGTTAGCAACAGTGGTACTCTCAGTCATAATGTACGCGGCACCAATATGGCCTCCAGCACTGAAATACGAATACTACAGGAATATGCTAGAGCAAGTAAATAGGAAACTAGCAATTAGGATAACATCATCCTACAGAACTGCTCCAACAACCGTTAACCTTGCCATAGCAGGACTGCCACCTATACATCTAAAGGTAGAAGAACGAATATCTATACTACAGAGAGGCAAAAAAATACAACAATAAGGCTAGAGAGAAGACTTTAACAAAATGGCAAGAACTCTGGAATCAGTACGATGGTAAAGCCAAAACATACATTTAAGATATCAGGAAATGGCAAGAAAGAAAATTCGGCGAAATAAACTACCACCTAACACAAGCCATAACGGGACATGGCAAATTCTGCTAATACCTAAAAAGAATAGGAGTAATAGAAGATGACAAGTGCTGGTACTGTAATGACATCGATACATCCAAATGATTTCAAATTACAAAATTTCAAAATGTATCAAACACTTAATGGAATGTGTGTTACTAGCTCTTGGACTAGAAGTAATGCTATAGGGCGGTTCCCGAATTAAAAAGAGAAAGGCTCACAACGCCTTAGGCCCGATTGTACAATGCGAGTTGAACCTCGGTTTAGCATGAACCTGGTTCTTGGCGTTGTAGAATACTAGTTCAGAACATAAACTGCGTTCATCTATAGGTTCAACAAAGCGGTCATGTTTCCGCGCTTAAACCGAGTTCAGACTTATTTTTGAATTTAGTTAGTTGGTAACACAGTACAAAAAAATATTTTTTGTGTTGGTACCTTATACGTTACCGTACACAAACCGTACACCGTAGGTAGGTAAATAGAAAACAAGATATATACGAATTACTGAATTCCTAATTAATAGAAGTAGTTTCGTAAAAATGGATGAAATGTCTGAAGACGAGGATTTTTTAGAATGAGCAAATGTCTTACAACAACCAGAAAGACAACCATAAATATATAGACCAAGGGACAATCATTTTGTGAAGTGGAAAAATACTGAATTTGTACAAAGATTTGTGAATTAAATTCACTTTTAATTTTTATCCAGCACTCATTCTTCTTGTGCGTTACATTCACATCTGTGTTTTTATTTTCTAAAATATCTTTATATTTTTTTACTAGTTTCACTAGTCCTTCTTCGGCATGCGTGAAGTTTGGCGTTCTTTATATTATCAGTTTGGAAACACAAGGGAAAACTACGTATAACCTCTAAAAATAATAATTTTAGAGTAAAAATGCCAAAAATGACATTTTAACTAACTAAGGCTGGTTTATCAGCCCCATTTGATATTCGATACATCTTGTCTCATTTGGATGATAGAAGAACAACCACCCTTTCTAAATTTTTAAATTTCTTTAAAATCACTATCTAGTAGAAGCAAATCAACTATATCTGGGTAAATTGTTCGCAGTAACATACCCCAAAAAAAGAAAAGAAGAAGAAGAAATGACATTTTATATAGCTCATTTATTTTCTAATAAGAGAAACAAAGATACACTACGTATTTAGTAAAATTAAAATCTGGCAACCCTGAACAATGAAGTTTATCTAAACCGACATTGAGCGGGGTATGTACAATTCATACCAATTTTTAAAGTAAGTTCAACCATTTACCGAGTTTATCTGAACCTAGGTTTTAGCTTGCTTTGTACAATCGGGCCTTAAGGGTGGGTATACCGGCCTTGCACCCTCAGCCGGGAGTGCCACACTACCAGGTACAGGTAGAACCATATGCCTGGTGTCCGTAATGGATTCCCACCCAACCAGAAAAAAACCTACCTACATTGATAAAGAGCATCTTAAAAAAGAAGCGGACGAAAGAT